AGTAAAATATGGAGATAACTTATTAAAGTAGTAATACTAGTCACTTAATACTAAGAATGTGAATAGTTATTTTCCTATGCATACTTTTCTGTGCTTCCAAAGTGGGCATGTTTATTTTTGATTATTTGGGAAAAAATTTTTTTTGGTCTTTTTGAGACAGGGTTCCTGCAGCCCCGGATGTCCTGGAACTCTCTATGTAGACCATGCTAGTCTTGAACTCACAGAGATCCACCTGTCTCTGCCTCCCTAGTGCTGGGATTTAAAGGTGTGTACCACCATGCCCAGCTGGGAAAAAAAATTTTTTTTGGTCTTTTTTTTGAGACAGGATCTCCCAGTAGCCTCAGCTGGCCTGGAACTCACTATGTAGACCAGGCTGACCTTGAACTCACAGAGATCCGCCTGCCTCTGCCTCCTGGGTGCTGGGATTAAAGGTGTATGCCACCACTCCCGGCTAGGAAAAAATATTTTTAGAAAGAGGAAATACTCACATATTGTTTAGAACAATATGCCATGGCATATAATAATTTTATATATTTTTTCATATTGGTAATTTTTTTCAAGTTGTATGACAAAACAAAATGTATGTTAGATACTTCTTTTTACAGTCTGATTTTGTAATTCATTGTGGCCTAGTTTCTTTAATCTCAGAAGGGTATAGCAACCTAAGTGTCAAAGGAGAAGGAAAAAAGCTTCTTGCTAGCCCCCCCCTTTTGGGGGGTCTTTTTTTGAGACAGGATCTCCCTGTGGCTCCAACTGTCCTAGAACTCACTTTGTAGACCAGGCTGGCCTTGAACTCAGAGATCCGCCTGCCACTGCCTCCCAAGTGCTGAAATTAAAGGCATGTGCCACCACACCTGGCTACTTTAGCCTTTTTCTTACCACTTTAAATACATATTACAAAAGAATTTCTTGGCCAAAATCTTAAAAATATGAGAAAGAAGGATGACATTTATTAATATAAGAGCATTAACAGAATGTATACTAGAAATGTCCCAGCAGCACACAAGCCAACCATCCCACATGTGCTGCTTCTCTAGGAAAACTTTATGTAAAAAAGTTAATGAATATTAATATTTGATCATCATGGTGGTGATAAGAAATGAACATTATTTTTGTTGTTCTTTAGAAACAGGGTCTCCTTGCAGCCCCAGCTGGCCTGGAAAACACTATGTAGACCAGGCTGACCTCCATCTCACAGAGATCTGCCTGCCTCTGCCTCCTGAGTGCTGGGTTTAAAAATGTGCCTGGCTAGGATAAGCATATTTTTTTTTTATGTGAGCTTACTTTCTTTAGGAAGAGAGTCATTGTTTCTTAAATGATTGCATTCTTCTGTTTCTTCTTGCGCCTCTCCCACTGTATTCATTTTAAAATTATCTTTGTTAATTTTTCATTCTGAGATGGTAATTACAATTATTATTATTATTATTATTATTATTTGCTATAGCTGGAAGCCAACATGTGGTGTCTTTCATAGACATGAAGATTATATGCAGGACCAATTTGCTGTTTGTCAAGAAATCATTGAAAAAGACAAGTACAGTATATGTATTAAGTGTATTAGTTCTGTAAATTAGTATTACTGGGCATGCTTTATAAGAATGGTAATTAAAAAGTGTAGCAAGCTTGTATTTTAAAAAAGTAAATGGATGTTATGTGCCACTGAAGGTCTACCTATTTATTATAAAGCACTGTTTAACTCTGGGTGTGTTTAGATATTGCCCCAGATGTAAACTGTTTCTCAGCAGCAACTATTGTAGCAGAATCCTTCAATTAATGATCTTTATGACCGAACTGTTATAGGAAAACATGTAGAGGACTATTTATCTGTAAAAATCAGTTTATGAAAAATTTGAGGTATTGATTTTTTGCAACGCTTGAAATTAACATTATTTTAATATAATTCAGTGGAAACGTATCTATTTTTATATTTTAAAATACACATGCAAAAATCTGTTTTGTAAAAAATTTTAGGTTAGCCTACAAAACAATGGGTTTCACCATGGCATGTTCATACTGTGTCATTATACCTTGTTCTTATTTGCTCCCCTCCCTCACTGCCCTCCCTTACACCTCCTCCCAACCTCAGGGTGGTTTCCTACCTTTCCTAATTTGTCCCCTCTTCTGCTTTCTTTATCACATGTCTGTCTTTATCCCTTAAGATGCCATTCCTCCCCACTCATGATCTCATTTCTAGGTTTGTATGCTACATATATACACATTCCTGCACAACACACATTTGCATATGTGTATATGTATACAGTGTACATATATACGGTGTGTATATATGTATACACACAAATTTAAATCTAGGTTCTACATATAAAAAATACGAAGTCCTTTATTTTCAAAGATGAACTCTAAAGGAGGTAAGAACTAAGTTACATATTTAGATATACTGGCATTAGAAATCCTGGAAATGTATAAGATTTCTCAGGGAAATATACGAAACCAGGAGGAAGCTAGAGTACACCATTTGAAGAGTAGGCCGAAAACAGAAAAGGTGAAGAGAATGCTGTCATTTGTAGATTCTGTTTCATTCCCAAAGTACTCTGAGATGATTTTAATGAATAATGCATAGTGTTAAAAAACAAATAGAATAAAGGATTTTAGGGAGTAAGAGAATGCAGGAGAACTTTAATTGAACTAGAAATTCATACAATTCAAATGTGCTCCTACACATTTGTTGAGTATAGGTGTAGGTAAGGCTTTGAAATCCAAGTAGTTGAGGCATTGTGGAACTATGATCAAGTCAGAACTCAGGACTATTCATTTAAAAACAGTTCAATTGTGTAAGATAAGTAGAAGTCTTTCCTGAAGCTTAAGCGAATTTTTTTTTCTGTATCTTCATAAAGAGGAAGTTGGAGGATGTGGTAGTTAGAATTATGTGTATGTGCACGCACATGCATGTGTGCTTTTTAACATCTCTCAGTGTAACTCATGGCCATTTAAGTGGTTTTTTTTTCCTCCTTTTTTTTGTTTCTGTTATAACACCAATTGAAGTAAAACAACACTAATTTCCACTTCACCCAAAAGCTATGTTTTTACTCTGCCCCCTTCTTGATGGCTCAATGCCATTTAAGATAAAAAAAAAATGATTCTGTAGGGCTGGAGAGATGGCTCAGCGGTTAAGAACTCTGGCTGTTCTTGCAGAAGACCTGGGTTCAAATAACAGCACCCACATAGCAGCTAACAACTGTCCGTAACTCCAGTTCCAGGGGATCTGACGGCCTCTTCTGTCCTCCATGGGCATTGCATGATACGGGTGCACTTACCTACATGCAGGCAATACATGCATACACATAAAATAAAAGTAATAAAATTAGATAAAAAACCTTTTTAATAAAAAAAAAAGATTCTGTGAGAAGCTAAAGCAAACCAATCCAAATATGTATCTTTCTGATAGTGTCTGTTGTAGATGACCTCCTGAGCTAATCAACGGTACTGAAGTGGAAATGGCTATTTCTTTTCAAAACCAGCCACATCATTGATTTGAGCTGATAATTCAGTATCAGGCATTTATAAAAGAAAAATAAAGTAAAGGCACCAAGTGTATTGCCATCCTTCACCTAAGCCACTTTCCAGACATGGTCTCACTATATATACCCTAGATTAGCTTCCATCACCATCCTGAGCATTCATGAAAACTAATATTACTAATAACAAATGAGATAATAATGGCTCCTCTTGAATCATAACAGCTATGTTGTGGTTTGCCAAAATTCCTATATGGAGTATGTTAGAAGAGTGGGCATAAATACAGACTATGAACAACATGGATGTATGCTAATCTCATGGTATGTTAGCTTTCTTATAGATATTTCTCTATTCCTCGTTACTAATTTACCAAGCTACTTTATGGTAAGTAGTGTCTTAATTAGTAGCCCCAGCCCGCTCATGGCCTGGAACTCGCTATGTAGACCAGCCTGGCCTCAATCTCACAGAGATGTGCCTGCCTCTGCCTTCGGATTACTGGGATTAAAGGTGTGTGCCATCAAGCCTGGCTTCTTGCCTGACTTTTTACATGGGTGCTAGGGATCCAAACTCGGGTTCTCGTACTTTGTATAGCAAGTGCTCTTATTCACAGAGCTTCTCCCTAGTCCCTAAAAATATTTTTTTTTTCTGTAAAAAAATGTACTGAACATTTTTAATGTTGATCATGGCTGACAAATATCTTTTGTAAAAGACCAGCTATTTTAGAATTTATAGGGCATAACAGCCTGTTGTCAATACTCAATGCTGCTGTTATATCAAATATAAATGACCAACAGAGCCAGGTTTTGCAATGTCAGTTAGGATGAGCACTAAAAACAAGAGGATTCACTTAGAAAAATTGGATTATTGATAATTTTGAAGAATGATGTCATTAAAATGGTGGGAGTGGATGTTAAATTGAAGAGGATTATGAAGTGGAGTAATTCAGGTATGGTGGTGCTAAAGATAGTTTGAAAGGCAGACAATATTGAGGAAAGTAGAGATAAATATTTTACTTGCTTTTTTGCTTATTTAATAGACTTTAACAAATTATACTTATTGATTTTTAAATTTTCACATAATTTTAAATTTTAACAGAAAAATGTATCATGATTATATATGTCAGTATAAAGACCTTTTGAAGCAACACCAACTAAAATTTTCAGAAACATATTTTTCATGTAAATATTATGAAAAGAAGAAAGAGCATGAAGAAATTCAAAACAGAGTGTTGGCATGTACTGAACAACTAAAACTGAATGAAGCCATTCTTATGAAATTCCTAGGTATTAACATTTTTGTTATATATTGCTTTAGTTATGGTATGCTTATAATGGAAATGATGTAATAAGCCATTTTCAACTACAACTTTGTTTCAGTGCCTGTTCCCTTTTCATCACTTACGAAATGGACATTACACATGTATCCACACCAGTATTTCAACTTATAATTTTATTAGATAAGTATACTTTCTGTGTTTTAATTGCTAATATGTTTTTCTGGTGGGAATCTCATGGGTTTGCTTTTCTTTTTAATTCATATTTTAAAGATCACTTAAATGGGGTTAGTTTTCATATATACCAATGTGATCCAGAAGTTATTTGTGAGAAAATAAAATGGTGTATGTATTTGGCTATAAAATGTCATATCTTAGAAAGCAAATAATGAAAAATTCATCTTTCTCTGTGTTAAAGTTCCAGTTAAATTATTGCTCTTTAGGATAGAAGGTGATAAGGAAGTAAGTCATAATTATTCATTCATCTTGAAATTTGTTGGGTATCTTCCTTTGTCAGGCAATACAGAAAAATTTACAAAGCTCCCTTGGAAGGCACTCACAATTTAGCCCAGGAGATAGACGCATAAATAAATCTAATAAGTCACTTAATAGATGCTTA